GCCCTATTGCCGCTGGCGCCTTCCACTTGATTGCATTTGCGAAGAACCGGCTGTTCTTTTACTTGCCCGGTGGCTCGGACTCATGCAGGGCAACTTTGGCGCCGATGCGAAATGCCTAATTTTGCCTGCTACGCTCAAGTTTTGCGAGCTTTCTTCAACACGCGTAGTGCCTTTTGTCTCGCTCGCAGCTCTTCGACGTCTCTTGCGTTTGCGCCGCTTCTTGCGTCTCGTTTCCGAGCCTCCCGATTGCATCTCACGCTCGTGAACCCTCTCGCAGCTTTCGTCAGCTGTCTCAGTCGCGCAGTCTAAATGATTTTCGACCAAATCATCTTTATTCTCACCCTCAAGACTGGCGAACTGGTTAACACACTTAGGAACAATGCAGCTGTTTCCCTTCGAAAAATCTTGCTCGCATTCCTGAGAGCTGTCTGCAACTGCACTGATACCATTCTATACGCTCGCTGCTTCTGAGCTTTCTCCGGTGTTCTTGCCTACTTCGACCTAATTTGCAAGATCCACCGTCGCGACAAACACAGTTGAGGTCTGTGCCAGATTGTCTACAGCTATTCTAGCTGTTTCGCTAACAGTTAACCGGCACAGCACCTCGTCGCACTCGCTCTGGCCTTCTTCGGCCTCTCTACTCAGCGCAGCATCATTCGCAGCACTCAAACTCGATTTGCCTTTGAATCTGCTGCTATGTTCACACGAGCTAGCCTTCTCTAAAGCTCAAAGCTGCACCTCGCACTTCTCATGCGCTACACTTGCGAATGGCTGAAACTTCCGCCTCATTGCCTCGATTTTCTGTTCCAATTGTTCGAGCACCAAGGCGCGTGCTCGATCACGCTCTTTTCTATCCCTTATTTCCTTTTCTTCTCTTTCTTTTCTCTGTTTTTCTAAAATCTCTACCGCGTTTTCAATCTCCTCCTCACTGGCTTTTTGCAAGATCGGCCTCACAGTCGCTGTCCTGCCCATTCCTTCCTCTACTTCAATGCCTAGATGCTTACTCACAGCCAAAAGTTCATCTCTTAGCATTGCCTTCCACGCCATGAATGCCGTTGTACTTTGGTCCTGCATTTCACACATAATTAGGTGATTCCTACAACTCACAAAAGATAATCTCTTTAATTCAAACACAATCCAGCTTCCAATTAACTCACACAATTGAAGCCTGGATAGTCAAAGCAAAGACCAAGCACTCACCACAGCACAGCACCATGTCGTGAAGCCCATCTCACCGCTGCCAACCAGTTGTTAAGTCTGGGTCGAAAGAGGAAGTTCGCTGATGGCATCCTACCGCTGCCACCAGTTGTTAAGGTTCAAAAGGAGGAAGGTCGCTGGAGGATACGAGAACAAACAGGTTTATGGCACTATTTACACTTATTTACAGCAAAGCAAGGTCAGTGGTTTCACAAACCACGAGCGTGGTGGTTAAACCGTTACATGGTTCAGAGGGACGTCCAACACTCTGCGGCGTCGTTTTAAGCCCTGTCGGGCTCCTCCTCTCCGAGTGGAACACCAATCACACACACACACACACACAACAGGTGAGGGGGACGAGCATGCACGGTCCACGTGAACATCCAATATTGAGTCGAGAACACTGCACTGCAAGGTGGCACCAGCAGGGCTCTTCTTTGTCGTGTGTGTGCCGCTAGTCGAGAGGTTCCACGATCCTGACAGCATACATCGAAGGGTCCGCCGATTTGTTCGCTTAATTAGCAGGGTGATTTGCGGTGGCCGCCGCGGTCTCTTCCAGGAAGATGCTGTCTTTGTTGGCCTCTCTCGAACGGTTAACGGCGTCTTGGCGACACGACGTCTTATCCTCCGACTCGCACGGACAATGCCTGACGAGCATAGGCAGCCGGCCGGTCGTCTACTTGATTGGGGATTAAAAGGAGCGCCGCTCTCCTGTCAGCTCTGGCGCCGGTCACAACAGCTTCCCCGTCGCCAAATGAATCACCGAGGTCACCAGGCACCGCTGCTGCTTGAAGGGACGACGAAAGGGTCCGCATTTGAAAGTCGTGAACTCGCCTTTGCTTGCCGCATTGTCTGGGTAATTACTCAAATCTTCGACAACGTCTGGCAGACTGGGCGCCAAAGGGATTGAGAGCCTCCCCAGTAGAACGGCTTATGCACAATGGCGTCTGCCCAGACGAATTTCCGGGCCAAACTTAACAGCGCGTATACTGCCGCTGAATTAGCGGCGGCATTCTGCATCATTCGCCGTTGTATCGGCCATATGAAGGGAAACAAGCTGTTGCACCTCGACAGCCTTGATAAATTCGAGATTAGCGTCTTCACCATTTCGAAAGCGAAGAAGCAGGCCAAGATTAGCTTTTTTTTTTTTTCACACAAATAAATCATTCTGTTGTGGCGTGAGTGCAGATTTAGTTGTCATTCTTGATTGTGCCTATTGTAGGTGATGATCCACTACTGGTAATATCTCGGGGCCTCTTTTTTTTTATGTTGAATTTATCATAAATCGAACTACTTTATGATCCCCTTTGAGTTTGATTTATGTGTTCGATTGTATATATGCATTGTCAAATCCTGAAGTAATGTCAGTTGACAGACAGCACTTGTGTGTGTTGTCTCTTTCTCTGGGTGTCTTTGTTCGCGCTGTAAATGTACCTTGTATGAAAACAGACATATGCAATAGGTAAGTACCTTTTTTCCTTTCGTACGATGGCATGCACGTCTCGCGGCCTTCGCCGAGATGCGCAGTACTGTATAGTCTGTCGCAGGTGGAAAGGCTGGTGTGTGCCCGCGAATAAAAACAAACGATCAGCTATGGCCGCCACTTTTCGGGAGATTCGAGATAGCATTTGTACAATCAGGAAATCATGTCAAAATTCGGAGATCTCTTAGATAATTCAAGAGAGCTGGCAGGTATGTACTGTGAAATCTCGGTATAACGAACTTCAGGGGACCGCGAAAAAATGTACGTCATTCTGAGAGGTCATTCTGAGAGGTCATTACAATGAAAGCCCAAAAATTACCATAACAATAGTATTTCAGTAAAGGGTACGTCCATTAGCTCATTTACAATAATGGACATGTGAACGTCAGACAAAGGCACGTTTATTTGAAATAGTCCAAGATCATTTTTTGACGGGTGCAGCAGCACAAATTCTGCATCACGAACAATTCTAGCTGGCCCGCATTTTTATGCATCGCTTGTGTAGCTCTGTCGCTTTTCTTCTACGAATATGCGGAGTTTCCTCATGTAGTCCAACGAATCTGTGGCCAACACGGGCTCATCGCAATCTTCGGGTGCTACAGTGACATCGTCATTCATGTCATCACTACAATCCTCATCCTAAGTCTCTCTGCCCTGGACACTCTGCAGAAAGTCATCAGCCGTCAGCTCCGCTGATGTCAACGTCGCCACGTCACACTGTCAATTTTTTGAAAATAGTCAAGCCGCAGTGGCTTCCTTGGTGGGGCAAGCTGATACTCGTGATGGTGCTTCAAGATCTTCTCTTTATCTTTGAGAATCGTGGCGATCGTCGACTGCATGACTCCACGTTCTTCGACGGCTTGTTTTTTCCCCGTCTTCCATTTCACTAAGAATGTCTACTTTCTCATTCGAAGAAAATGGCTTCCGCTTCTTAATAAAGTCGAATCTCGATAATTCGTCGAATCTCGATAAGGGACCCAAAAATTTGTTCTAATTAAAAAAAGTTCAAAATAATGAAAGCTAAAAAAACAGAGGGCTCTCCATGCAGTGGCGCATGTGCATTGAGCTAACACACGAGGGGGAAGTTTAAGAAGGCCATTCATTCACAAATCACAGGACATCTGTTATTAATTGAAGTAATTAATTAACGCCAGATCTTTGGAGGTAGACACGTTCCATGCTTCGCCGTCCTGCACCATGCCACGAGATCGTGGTCTTCGCGATTAGCTCTGGCAACACGATCCCTGTTTAATACAATGCAACAAATGTGATAGCAACAAATAGTAATGTTATACTAAGTAACGATGTCAGCCAACTTTTTTGGATCGGATATCAGGGAACTTCTACAAAAACTGGTGTAAACAAATATGGCCGCTTCAGGGAGAAGTGCTTTTTTCACACAGTCCATTCGTCTTGAAAGTGGACCAACGCTTGCAAGATAGCACGCACGCCAGCAATCGCGAACATGCCCTTCAAATCAAGTTGACTGTTTCTGTTCAAACAAGACTCCCCCCCCCCCCCCCTCCCCGGCATTTTTTCTTGCTCGTTCAAGAGAAGTGGTTTTCTTTCTGTTCGAACATTGGGCAACAGTTTTAACATGTGGGGGGGGGGGGGGGGTGTTATTATATGCGCCCTCCAGGCAATAGAGATGGGCCGACTCATCTGATTTCAGCTTCAGCAGCCCTCGCGTGCTTTTACCCGCTTGTAAAAGTTACGATGCACGGGGGCATGGTATCAATTTGGACTGGTTATAGAACATGAGGGTGACGGTAACGATTCATTGAAAGTGTCCATATAATTGTTATCACAATATTAATTCAGCTTTTTACCACTAAATGTCTGAGTGAGCTCTGTGGCCTTTTGTTTAATTTGTGTATTTCTTTTTTGTAAATTTCGTACCAAACCTGTGTGTAACCGAATCCTCCTTATAACAAATTTCTTTGGCAATTTGTCGATTTCATTCCATCCCTTCTTTATTGTATACTCAAAGAATGACTATTTTACACCTTTTATTTTATTGTTATCCAATATTTTAATGTGCTTGTGAGGCTATGTGTGTAGTTCTAGCCATTTCATCCTGTATGATAATATTTATTCAGTATGTGTGATCATTTATTTTTTTGTGATGCCCCCCTCCAAAGCCTCTATCTAGGCCTGTAAGGACTCTTTATTTGAATACATAAACTGAGCCCCATATCTGCTGCGGACGAAACCGTGATCTCTAACAATGCAATCATAACATGCGGAAAGCGTACACAAATGAGCCGAAACGAAACTAGTGAGCACCGCACTTGCCCCGAGGTTCTCCACTCACACTTACCTTGGCTGGAATTTTGGCTTTGCCTTCAACTGTAGGAGGGGGCTTGCCATGCGGTATGCAGTTGAGTAGCACAGTTGACAGCACCTGGCCAAAAAAAATAAACAGATCTTGGAAACTTGGACCCAGCCAAAGGTGTGGTACGGTATATAGAACTTAGATTTATTAGCTGCCAATACCTGACAATGTTGCCATGAACAAGAAGGCTTGCATCTGTCATCTGCTCCTCTAACCTGCTCCCATTCTTAATATTAACATTACCACTCTGAAAGTACTAGCCACCTTTTTCTTTCCACATGTAAGAACTTTCAAAAGTACACACCAGTGTCAGGTCAAGGTTTTGTTATCTGACTTCCAAGAGCTGTCGAAACTAATGGGGCCAAGTCACAAAACTAATACAAGCCAGAAATCTAGCTTTTCGTACTTTCTGCAGTGATGTGATGAACCAAAGCCATTCTGCAACAGCTTCTGTAACAGCTAGATTATCATCTTGGAGCAGTTAACGAGCACAAACATTTATCTCTACAGCTGTACCACATGTTTAACAGAATTGATTTAGGAACAAATACATGTGCATTTACTTAGAATACCCCTAACAATGAAGCTGTCCCTCATTTTTCTGCAGGCAGCCAAAAGCTTCTTCAGTCCAGTGACTTCAGGATTTTCCCAGAATCCACTACATATTCGTGAATGGATAAGAATATGCTTTAGGACGGCACTGAGAGTACAAGCTGCATAAACTTTTCATGCATTCTGCTGACTATACAAAACATTCTATATTCTGATTACTTTCAAGCTTCCAATACAACCTGGACTAGGTGGTGACAAACCTAATATTTAGCTTTATGGGCAGAATTATAAGGATCTTGGTTCATAGCAAGTCAATAAATAATAAGAAAAAAAAAACATGGTTGGTCCTTTCGTCATAGAAATCAGTATGACACGAAAGTGAAATATGTCTTCACATTGATATGTAGTAAACCCTCGTTGACTCGAAATTCCATATCCAGGGGTGAGACGGTCGAAACTGAATTGGGAGCAGTTTTTGGAGCAGCGAAATTTCTATCTTAGGGCAGCAGAACCTTGCTTCAAAGCAGTTAGGGGCATTGAATATGTTGCCCTAAGAGCTTGAAAATACACATTTTTAGCAACGTGGGGGCACCAGTGGCTATTTTAATTGGTTTATAATATGCATAATACTAAAACAGATTTTGAAGAAAGTTCTTCAACAGATTATCGCTAGATATGAACTGCACTACTTTTTCACATACCACGTGACTATCTACCCCTCGTAACATGTTAAATATTATTTTTAAAAAACGTTTTGCTGAGAACTGGGTTCCCCAAAAACATGATAGTGTCAAGAGCTTTTAACAGACAACAAAAGCACACTACACTGCCGTTCGCAGCCACCTTGTGTAGGACCACCTTCAAGAGTGCAGAGCGAGCGCCAAGAAACCTCGCTGCACCAACTATCTTGTAAAGCGCGTGTGTATGACACTAAGTGATAAGCGAATGATACTGATAACACCTCTCCATGCGAGCAACCACGTTAATGCTACGGCACATGTTGGTCATTTCTATATATTTTTTTAAATATATGTCGGTCAACACCGTTGGTGTGAAACTCCCGTTAATACATCGTCATACATTGCTGGCCACGCAGCTCAGCGACTCGCGTAAGCGCTCGTGCAGCGCAAGTAAGAAAATCTGTATCCACGCAAACGAACCGCCGAATGTAGAGAGTCAGGTTTTATTGCAAAAAAAGAAAAGAAAGAAAATGAAGTCACACTGCCACCGTCTGAAACACTGATCGAGATAAGCCTAAAGCTCGTCTAGCCCAGGGCCGGCATGCATGCAGTGATGCCCCTTAAAGTGCTTGTTGTGAGTTTCAATTACAACACGAAGCAACGGCAAATCACCATTTATGAAAATTGTGCCATGTGATCGCCGGCACGTCATGAGTCTCGAATAAACCGCCGAGGTGCCGTTAATATCATTAACAGTGGTTTGAACGCGCGTTCTGTCACCACGACTATGCATGTAACCAAGTGTTTTTACCTGGAGACACCAGTGTGCAGATTTCGAGTGTGATGGCTTTTTTAAATGCAAAATGCAATGATAACTCGCTTGTCTAAATAAATTAGTAGCTAATGGGCGTAAACCAGGAATTGTTCGCACACGTTCTACCGCTCACGAAACCTATTTTGAGAGCCCATGTGCACGTGCCAGAGCATTCAGGAGATGGGTCTGATGCAGGGAAATGACTCCACGTTTATAGTTACTTGCTCACGGCAATCGTGTACTCACAGATGATCGCACGCATCAGCATCAACATAAAGATCGCAGCGACCGAAAGAACGTGCTATGCATAACAAAGAACCGGAGAGTCAACCCCTCTATGCTAGCCACTGGACTCGTTGGTTTTCACTAGCCAATAGTAGCACCAGCACACACAGCCTAGCTAGTAGAAACAGCACGCTCAATGCCCGACGGCACATTTTTGCGGGGTCACGTATATTTACAACAGTTTAAAGGAGATTATGGCGGAACCATGGGAGCCTTTATCACCAGAAAGGTGCAAAGTGAAAGAAGAAGCAAAATTGGGTGCATCTTATTAGTCAAACTCGGCCTTTTTTCCCCCACTGAGGCTGAGGTTGGCATTAAAATTCTAGCTTTCGAGGCTGTTTTGGAGGAGTTCAGCGCAATTTTCGTGATTTTATGCATTTGGAGCAGCTTGGCACAAGGGAACGGAAATGTATCATAAATGCACAATGTGTGCAGCTGTCTCCCCTCTGCATATCTAGAAATCTCAATTGGTGAGGAGTTCAGCGCAATTTTCGTGATTTTATGCTTTTGGAGCAGCTTGACACAAGGGAACGGAAATGTATCAAAAATGCACAATATGCGCAGCTGTCTCCCCCCTGCATATCTAGAAATCTCAATTGGGTCGAAACTTTTTTTTTTTTTTGCCGTGCATTAACTTCCTATGGTGCTATGTACAGTTAAACCTGGATATAACTAAATTGACAAATTCCTGGAAAATTCATTATAAAGAGGATTTCGTTATATGCAGGTTTGGTAAGAAAAGTCGAAAAATAAGCTCACAATTTTAACGAAAGGGATACTGAAGGCCGAGCTAACGAAAATAACTTATTTAGCGGTAAGAAACTGCGTTATTATTACGATAGAAATTATATGGCCACTCTCAGCGGGTTTTTGCTGTTGCCGCCATGCTCCGTAACAAGTCGAAATTAATAGCATGCCCCCGCGCACCGTAACTTTTACGAGCGAGTAAAAGCGCACGAGGGCCGCTGAAGCCGAGATCAGATGACCCGGCCCATCTTTATCACCTGGAAGGCACATACGATAACACCCCACCCCCCGCCTCCGTGTTAGAGCTGCTGTCGAATGCTGAAACAGAAAGGAAACCATCCGTCCTGAACGAGCATGAAACAATGCAGAGGGGGGTTATCATTTGAACAGGAACAGTCAACTTTGATTTTAAGGGCGTGATCTCGATTGCTGGCGTGCAAGCTATCTTGCAAGCGTTAATCCACTTCCAACACGAATAGACTGTGTGAAAAGAGCACTTCTCCCTGAAGCGGCATATTTGCCTACACCAGCATTTTGTAGGGAGTTCCACGATATTGAATAAAAAAAAGTAGGCTGCGAGCCTTCTTTCATATAACAATACAATTTGTTGCTATCCAATTCATTGCATTGCATTCAAAGAGCCATTATGCTGTTGCCAGAGCTAATCGGCTAATCGTGAAGGCGATGGTCCCTTGAACTCGCGGCGTAATGCAAGACTGAAACGCGTGATGTGTTGACTTCCGAAGATCTGTTGTTGTCACCGTAGTCTCAAAGAGTTTCCATCAGCACGTAATCTGACATCACCTCAGTATGTCGACCCGGCTGTCCGCAAAAGATGGAAAAAAAAAAAAAAGCAATGTCGAATGTACTCGAGGGGGGGGGGGGGGGGGAGGTGCCACATCATGCGAGAGCAGTAAAACTATGCATCCACACACGGCTTCAAAAGCAAAAAGCAATGACATGAATACCGCAGAAAACTATTCAGTAAAACGCCCTGCATATGCAGTGCGGCCCCACACGTATCGCTAACTAAAAGCGTGGCACTGCCAACTCAAAAGTAGTTTTCTTTCTTCATTTTTGTTTTGCAGGGAGGTGAAGAGCACATCTGCTCATGCGCCCGCAGTGGCAACAACGGCGGCAATGCCGGCTTGTGAGGCACAAGTCCGCCTGCCCGCCTTGCGCACACCCGCGTGCGTGGAAGTCGCCGGGGCCACGAGCGCGCCACGCCACTTCGCGCTTCGGCAGTGCTGGGGCCACGGCGGAAGATGCATGCTCGTACCAAAATGACAACATCCGGGGCCAAATCACCGATTGTCCATGGCGGAAATTCATTATATCAAGAATGTCTCCCATTAGAGGTCGCAAGTACAAGTGGTTCTATGGAGTAACGACGGGGAATAGAAAAACTTCAATATATCGAGGAATTCGTTATACGGAGGTTTGTTTTAAGCAGGTTTAACTTTATTTGCCCCCTCTTATCTCAAAATGTTTTTCGGGAGGGGGGTCAACTCAACGGATATCTCTGAATCTTGACTGGGCGGGCAGAAGGCAAAGTCCACTCCCAACACGAAACTAGGGCTCCATGCAAACGCTTGCTCTTATACGTGCCGAACGTGGTTGTGAAGGGCGAACTTGAAATTCCGGAAAGCAACCGTGAGAGTGACCACGTGTGCGCACCAGCGCGCGACTTATGCGTGGTGAGGCGGCGTGTGCAGTGTGCGCCTGTCAGTGCCGTCAATACGCAACCTAGCCTTTGCTTGTGCAAGCTTTTATTCTTTGTTGATCGTTGAAGCCTGGCACCAACTATGCCCGCAGGCGATTGCCAACTGCTTCACACATGCATGATTTTCTCGTTCCCCGGAATCAATTGAAGAAGACATTGATTGCATGAGCTAAACTGAAGACAGTAAAATCGTCTTCGAGGAATGCTGTTGGACGCCGATATTGTTGAGATGGCCGTGAATGACACAAATGACCATGCAGACGAGGAG